TATTCATATCACTTTTTGGTTTCTCCTCTCCTCCATACTCCTGAAAAGAAACAAATATAAGACAAAATGGCATATTTAGAAATTGAGATGAAGTGGGAACCGATGACTACATAAAATCGTTAAGACCATTAAATAATCTGATATTTACCACATACATGAAAGGTCTTACACTTCATCCTGCCCTCCATCGCTTCCTTTCTCCTCACTCTGAAAGATAAATAGAAGACCAGAGGAGCTGTAGCTCAGTTTTTAAAAAACTAAGGCACAGATGATTGGTTCATGACTACTATATAAAATGTAATTAAAGCAAATAAAATTATACTTACCCATTCAAGATGTTAAGATGCCACTAGAGAAATGCATTTCCTGTCGAAAAAGCGTGTGGATGCTGTGATGCTGAAGGATCGCCATGAAAATGCCTGAAATCAATTGCTGAAACAGGTGAAGGATGACTAGAAATTGCTGAATTTTTTTTTGTTAAAATAGTTGAGAAGAAATGGCTGAAGTTCTTTATTGAATAATCTGAAGGATGAGATGCAATAAATACAAGCAGGATTGTCGCTGAAGAGCTGAACATTTTGATACCTGAAATACCTGAAAGTATGCTGAAGTAGAATATTTCCATTAATTTGAATGGAGCAAGATTTTTCAGAATAAAACTAAATAGTCTAAAAAGTATGAAGTTTAGAAAAATTCTGAACAGAAGCATGAAGGTCCTTTAGGAGCTGAATATTTTGATACCTGAAATACCCCTGAAAGTATGATGAAGTAAAATTTCCCCATTCATTTGAATGAAGCAAAACTTTCAAAATAAAGCTAAATATTTCAAAAGTATGAAGTTTAGAAAAATTCTGAATAGAAGCATGAATGTCCTTCCTATTCATTTGAGCACGGTGGCGCAGTGGTTAGCACCTTTGCCTCACAGCAAGAAGGTTCTGGGTTCAGGCCCCACCTGGGACCTTTCTGTGTGGAGTTTGCATGTTCTCCCCGTGCTTGCGTGGGTTCTCTCCGGGTACTCCAGCTTCCTCCCACAGTCCAAAGACATGCAGCTTAGGTTGATTGGTGTCTCTAAATTGCCCATAGGAGTGCATGTGTGGTTGTTTGTCTATGTGTTAGCCTTGCGATGGATTGGTGACCTGTCCAGGGTGTACCCCGCCTTCACCCGATTGCTCGCCGGGATTGGCTCCGCCTCCCATTGACTTGTATTGCAAAATATAAAGCTGAATAGATAAAAAAGTTGAGGACAAGCAGGGATGTCCGTGAAGAGTTGAACAGATCAAGACCTCAATGGCCTGTACAGCTGAAAGTATGCTGGACTTAAGTGGCAAAAAAAGGGTGGAAGATCCCAGAATAATAATAATAATAAATAAAGAACAGGAGAGCATAGTGTGGATGCTTGACAGCATCCACACAAAAAATAGAACATTCATTATCATATTAAAAAAAACAAAAAGGCTGTAAAAAATGAGGCAGATTCAACTGGAAGAAAGTGCAGTAAAGAAGAGGACAAGAAGGCAGAGAAACCTTTGAAAACTAAAGTCGGCACTAAGGTTTTGCTAAAGCAGCTGAATTGCCAAAAGGCCTGTTTTTTAATGAAATGGAAATTAAACACTGTGATAGTTTGAGTTCATGTTGGGGGAGCAGAATATTTTCCTCCAAAATGCTTACATGCATAATATCAAAGATGGCATTTGAGAGGGAGGAAATTAACACTAGCACTAGTTTCCACTGCCTCTGAAGGCAGTGCCCAGGAAGTGTGCTAAATCACATCTCATTGCTACGTTGAATAGTTAACCATGCTAACAGGCTTGGACAGTGTGTGTGTGTGCGTGTGTGTGCAGGGGTGT